ATGCATCCATTCATGTTTTTTGTAATTTATCTTTGTTGTACGTCAATTATCTCCTTTCAAAGTGCTAAATACTGCATTCAATTCTGAACGAAGGCACAAATTAATTGCTTTTACGCTCACAATGATCTTACAGAGTTCAAATCTTCGAGAACCTGTTTTGTGGTATATTCTGCTTTCGCTATCATTTTTTGGAGTTATCTCAGAATGGAGGAGTTCCTCTGATGAAGCAGTAACTGTTGATTTAAGCATTTGCCCAAAACAAAATGAGTTGGAGCTGAGCAAATCCCTGTGTGTTTCATGCGATAGATTGTTGAATGAACGACACCGGGCGTGTTTTCAATTTCATGCAAGGAAAATTGAATATTGCAGAATCGAGCCATAAATCGATGCCAACGTTTTCATTTCCTGATGGTTTAGCTCATTTCAATCACAATGATCGATCGTATCGATGTTGCTGTGGCTTATTGCATATTAAGGTGAGCGGTGATCAACTAAACCTATAGCAGTCAACAAGTGGAAAGGCACGAGGAAATAAATGATAAGAATAAGAAAGTTTCATTAGTGATTTGGATATAATGTACTATTAATCTCTTGTAATGTATAATAACAGAGCTTCCATAACAAATTCTTCATGGCTGATTACCTTTGCACTCGTATCACATGATATCCATATGAAGCACGAGGTATCTACGTCAATTTCCTAATTAAGTTCAAAATGTGATCATTTGACAGTATCATTAATCATATTTAATCGCATCTTTTCATCACATTCATCTATTACCACTTGATGATAATTTTATTGTATTCATCAGTTTTCTATGAAGTTGAAATGGAAACAATACGAAAAAAAACTGCATCGTTCATCGATCTCACTGATTTCAAATGTGGTTTAGTCAAGATTCTCAAATTTTCCTGACACCCATTAATCCAATGTTGCTCTTCAGACTGCAATGACAGTTTCTGCTATCGTGTACAGTATGCTTCTGGTATTTCTTCTTGCTGCCATTATTTTTGAATACGCTAGATTCGACTTTTATCGACTACTCACCACCGAATTCACTGGTGTCATATCAATATTGCTTATCATTCATGCAGTTATTCGAGAGGACCCCCTCACAGCTGTGATATTCTTCGCTGTTCAGGTGCGCAAGCGACTATTCCAATTGTTTTACACATGGTTGTTGATTGTTTGTCGCATTCTGGATAAGGAATACACTTAATCCTAGTGAGATTCCACGAAAGCTTTCAGTAGAAAACGATAGTGATCGTGACCAGGCAGAGATACTTTAGACAATATTGAAAGTCAGTGAAAATTTCCTATGAAAATTGTTCATTCAAGGTATCCCGCAAATAATGCCGGACAATTTCAGATTGCTACATTCATCGTTATGAGTTTATTGTGGGCTTTCGGATTTCGATTTGGTGAGTCCTGCAAATGTTTCGCTCTGATTCAGCAAATTCATGCTCCTCTCAAAGCATATCATAAATGTGCTGACCGTTTCCAAGAATGTTTCTGTTAAAATACCTAGCCATATCAGTCAAATCTTGCAAAACTATCGGAAATTTTGAATATCTTATGGGCAATTGTTTGTTCTAGGTGCAATTTTCGACATATCAATTGGTTTCTGTGCACACCCGATGTTCATCGCGATCGGATATTTTGGATACAAATATTTCAGTGATTGGAGAAGTTATCGACAACGACCATCGATCTCGTACACTATGCGAACAGATCAGTAACTCATCAACTTTGCTTCGTTTCTTTTTTCGTTGTAGATATGAACGTTATTGGCTTAGTTCACTTTTGTAATTGTATTATACCACATTTTCGATCCATATAAATGCTCTTCATTCGCCTTAATGCTTGAGATGGGAAACTACAGTCTATAGATTGGTGTGTAATGGATGAAGAAACTCCGAGAAGATAGTCCCAAATGCACACTCATTCCAGTGGCCACATCAGGCCTAGTTTCGAGTAATGAACAGAAAACTAAAAACAGTGTACACCTTACATATCTGGCAACGTTCGATAAAGATAATCACATTTGGAATCGCACGAATGATCCCATAAACCATCGTATAAACTCCATCAAATGAACACAACAATATTTATCAATTACATGCTCCAATCAAGTTTCCGACAAAACATACATACAACTCATACAATTGCGCATAGACGTTCTACAACAAAAAATTGACGATAAACAGACGACTCAACGAAAAACATCAAATATTCTATAAACATAAACATTTTCATCAATGCCGAAGAACAATGCGTAGCTTAAAAACAAATAACTTTATTGGAAACATTATTTTTTCAAATATACAAAGACATCGACAACTATCAAATAAGAAAACAGATAACAATAACAACAACACCAATCACTTAAGACCGATCAAATATTGCTCATTCCCTCCGGCTGAGTGCCTGCAATGTTTCGCTAACATCGCATTCAAATCGCGAGTTGTCGGACAGAGATCCGTGAAGAAATGTTGAATGTCACTGATCTTCCATTTTTGTCGAATTGAAAACAGCAACTCCAGTCTGTAATGCCACCAGAACAATGCTTTCGTATAACTTTATCAATGTATAGGTGACAGATAGATTGAAATTGAATGAATTTTCGATGAATCCGAAACGATAACA